CACAAGCCTCACCGAACGTCTCCTTGCTACCGCGATCTCGCCCACAGGAAGCCGCAACCACGTGGCAGCAGGGCAAATGGCTGCGGATCCGGTTCGTAACCCGAGGCGGAGTTCGCAACCCGAGGTACCACTGTATACTGAATTGTGGAATACCATTCCCAATAATAAACAGCTTGATTTGAAATTAAATGGTGTTTGAATTTTAATCTTAATAAATATTTTTTCCTAACTACTTTAGTCGGAACTGAAATAGTTAATTAATTCCTTTCTCTTATACATTAGTTCCTTGTAATATGCCATATTTACATTTGGCTTGCAGTTCCTCTTGTTATTGTCTTAGTAGTCTATCTTAATTTGTCACAGGTTTACCAGTTTCTACTCCTTGCACAACTGTCAACAAAGTTTGTGCTTCTGGAATGAAATCTATTATGATGGCAGCCCAGAGTCTGATGTGTGGGGGTCAGGTAGGATATTCTGCATTTTCAGGATTTGAAATATGTGGATATATATGATCTTTGAATTATAGAAGGGCACTGTTTTTGGTCTACAAATGGACCGTTGTTAGTTAAAAGTTTTGTGAATGGATTATTGAACTGATACTTTGAATATCAAATGAAAAATATTCACTGAGAGATTACAAAAGTACTTTTACCCCAGATGTTAGTGACTGAATTAAAAAAATGTGTAATTTATCCATTTCTGAAAAGATTATTTTTACTACTAATCAAATAATGACAAAATATTTTGGCATTTTATAATTTATAAGGATAAATTTTTATGTACAATTTGATACTTTGTTAATAAATAATTAAATGAATATGTGATATAGTTAGGTGTATATATCAATTTAGTATGTTAATTTTTAGATTTTTTTTCTGTTTATTTGATTTGATTTTAATTGTTTTGGCTCTACAGTTTCATAATTAATTACTTTGTATATCACTATTTTTCTTTTAATTTATTTTATCTGTATTCCTTTTTTTAAAAAATGCAATAAAATAAAAAAGTCTTAGTGTTTTTTTATGTGTATACACCCAAATATGCACACCCACACATATAATTTTAATACCTGTTTTTCAATCTTTGCCTGCAAGAGGATTCAAAGCTTAAATCCATCATTGCACTACTAGATTCCTGCTAATGCAGTGGGACTCTTTATTTAGTCTTTTTTTCAGTCTCAGCATTCTCAGAATCTTCTACTGTACATAAGGTTGAGGGACCTCTGGAGTAATTTTGGAGGGGAATCTTCCCTCTTTCTGCTCTGTCAGTGGAAACATTTCTGCTGGTGGAAACATATCACTGGACTCAATTCCAAGTATCTATTTTCGTATCATTACAAGACCAAAATATATATATGTATCTAAATAGCTGTAAAATCTTCTGAACAGGATGTGATGGTGGCTGGTGGAATGGAAAGCATGTCTAATGTTCCTTACACAATGAGCAGAGGAGCAACTCCTTATGGAGGAGTAAAGCTTGAAGATTTGATTGTGAAAGATGGTTTGACGGATGTTTACAACAAAATTCACATGGTAAAGACTAATGTATTGTGACTATATTTCACTTTAAGCTTTTAAATAATTTTTAATCATCTTTGAATAAAACGAAGTTACTATAGTTCATTTGCATGTTCCTGCTGGCATAGAGCATGGTTGTGGGAACTGCATTTTAAAGAATGGTGGCTTGCCCAGAAAGCAACACTCTCTCACTAGTTTCTCTTTTCCTATTTACATTGTGTCTCTAAATGTCATTATGATATTCATTTCTAACTGCTGGCCATTTATATGAAACCAGGCAGGAAAGCAGTTGCTCAAAGTGTTCAGGCAGATGACTATTGATAGGCATGGGAGAACTCAACAAAAAAGTGTTTTGTAAACCGCCCAGAGTTATTTGGAGTTGGGCAGCATATAAATTTTAATAATAATAATAATTTTGAGTGCTGGCCCCTCTTGAAATTGTTTCCATATACAGGTAGTTCTGGACTTATGATCATTTGCTTAGCGACCGTTTGAAGTTTACAACAGCTCTAAAAAGAGTGGCTTACGACTGGTCTTTGCACTTATGACCGTTGCAGCATCCTTGTGGTCACGTGATCATGATTTGAGCATTTGGTAACCATTGTGCATTTGCGAGGGTCGCGTGATTGCCATTTGCGACCTTCCCAGCTGGCTTCTGACAAGCAAAGTCAATTGGGAAGCCAGCAGGGAAGGTCTCAACTCGTCACGTGATGTCTCACTAAATGATCGTAAAATTGGGTGTGGTCACATGATGCCTCACTTAATGACTGCACCACTTAATGAAGAATTTTCCAGTCCCTGTTATGGTCGTAAGTTGAGGATTACCTGTAGTTTATAGAATTAGGTGCCTTGTCCTCCATTTTCATATTAGGTAACATAGAAGTTTTATCTCTTTCTTATTTGGACACTATTGTTTGCTACTAGGACATGGTTATGCAAGATGTTTAGATAACCAATATTTAGATATTAGAGACTATCTCTAAATGATAAAAGAAACTTTAAAAAAAGCTGTTCAATGCTTTTAAAAAAATATTTCCCAAGTTTGCTCATTTGTATGGACAAGTAGGTAAATTGCTTTTGGTCAGTTAGAAACTGTTATCAATAAGAGATGCCATAGACAAATTTCTGATATCACAAACATACATAGATCTAAAATTACCCGAAAGGCCAAGGCCTTTTTACTGCAGTAATTTGAAAACCACCTATTCAGGCCTTGTTTTTTTCCTTTTATTATTGGGCTAACTAATACTATTTTAAACATCCTATGAGTATGAGTTGATGGTATATATGTAAAAACTAATTTATTCAGTTAAATTATCAATTGCTGAAAATCTGCCTTCAAATGGGAATGTTTTAGTTTCTAAATTGCTATCCATTAGGAAATGAAGACTAATTCAAACCACATGTCAATGGGAGTAATTCCCATTTAACCTAATAAGAACTAATTTCTAATATAGTGCATTTAGATATTGAACTGCACTATAAATGAATTAAATTAAACACAAGGTATGTAAATGATCTCTGCTTCATGGCCACCTGGGATATGAGATTTGTGCTATAGTCCAGCTGATTTATTAAAAGCCCATGGTACACAGCCTCATATTTTCTACTTTTTTCATTGCCCCCAGGGTAATTGTGCTGAGAATACTGCTAAGAAATTTTCTATATCACGGGAAGATCAAGATGCTTATGCTATAAAGTCCTATACCAAAAGCAAGGAAGGTTGGGACTCTGGAATATTTGCAAAGGAAATTATACCTGTTACTATTTCTCAGAAAGGTAGTATGAATTAATATATAATACCTCCTCCACCTTAAATTTTTATGACACATTGCATGCTTCATTTTCTGAATATGAAATCCAATGTAGTAGAAATAGAATGGATAATAGGATTTTAATTATTTTTCTTAACTGATTTTTTAAAAAATTATCTTCATTGTAGTTAATTGACATATTTGACTGATTTCCAGCTTTAATAAATATTTGAAGAATTGTAAGTAAAAACATGATTGAAATCAGAAATTTCTATTGATGATTTCAGTTGCCTTGACTTAAATCAATCCACTCATGCGCTGAAGCAACATGAGGTGGAAAGTGCACAAATGAGAGGATGCAAAAGATTCTTATATGTTCAGCTGTCCTTTGGAAAGTAAGAAAAATGTAACATCCAGCAAGCTACTGATCTCTGCAGTGCTGGATTGAGTTTTGAGGTCAAAGTTTCAAATCTTTTTTTACTAAACAGAATCTCACTTTAGGGAAGCCAGACACAGAGGTTAAAGAAGATGAGGAATACAAACGTGTTGACTTTAGTAAAGTTCCAAAATTGAAGGCAGTTTTCCAAAAAGAAAACGGTAAGATTTGAAAATGGCATATCCATTTTTAATGTGCTATAATTTATTTCAGATTTGATTAATTGCATTTTAATCTTATATACCTACATTTCCAATTGATTGATTGATTATGTGCCATCAAATCATTTTTGACTCCTAGTGACCACATAGATAGATCTTCTCCATGACAATCTATCCCTAACCTGTTCTTTCAAGTCTCCAAATGAGGCACTCATCACAACTGAAACTGAGTCCATCCACCTTGCTACTGGTCATCCTCTTCCTCTGCTTCCTTCCTCCTTTCCCAGCATTCAAGCCTTCTCCAGATAGCTGGGTCTTCGCATAATGTGTCCAGAGTAGGATAATTTGAGCCTGGTCATTTGTGCCTTAAGTGAGAACTCTGGGTTGATTTGTTCAATGATCCATCAGTTTGTTTTCTTGGCTGTCCACGGTATTCTCAGGAGTCTTCTCCAACACCAAATTTCAAAGGCATCAATATTCTTCCTGTCCTGGTTCTTTAAAGTCCAAGTTTCACTTCCATTGAGTGTCACAGGGAATACCATGGCTTGTATGATTCTGATCTTTGTAGGTATAGACACATCACGGCATTTGAATATCTTTTCCAAGGTCTTCATGGCTGCTCTACCAAGTGCTAGTTTGCGGTGCATTTCTTGATTGCTTGTCTAATTTAAGATTATGTCAGCCACGTTGGATATAGACTGCTGCATGTTTTACACCATACTTTGACACCAGGTAGTGGTTGCTGGAACTGATAACATTGTAGGGGAATACATGGTGCTTAAATTGTTCTTCCTAGTAAATCATTTTTCCCTAATTAATTTTTTTCCAGGAACAGTAACAGCTGCCAATGCTAGTACCCTGAACGATGGAGCAGCTGCTTTGGTATTGATGACTTCAGAAGCAGCTAAAAGACTAAATGCGAAGCCGTTGGCTAGAATAGTGGGTGAGGATCGTCTTTCCCTTTGGTGAAATTGTCATATATATTTGCCTGAGCCAGAAGGGTGGTGGATGACATGCTGACTTCTTTTCATTATGTTTTATCTGTGGATTAAGCAGGAAGACTGATTTTTGATCAAGTGGTTTCAACAAATTGAAATTTTGCCAAAAGCAAAAGTTCAAAAGAATTAAAAATGGAGGTTTTGGAACATTTCAGTGCACTTCTCTTGCGTGGAGTATTTAAAGTATCTTTAAAGGAATGAACTCTGAAATTCTGCCCTTGATTGAGGAATCATTGCCAGAACAGAATTCAGTGTTAAGAGTACAATAAGCGTAGCCCATCTGACAAAATGTTTCCTTTCTGATCCATGTTTCTGTTCTTGCAGCTTTTGCAGATGCTGCTGTTGATCCCATTGATTTTCCCATTGCACCAGCACATGCTGTTCCTAAGGTGACCACATCTTCCATTCTTCTACCTTCATTTAGTCGCTCATTTATTTCTGCATTTAGTCTTCAGCGGAAACGTAACATAATGGGATTTAAAATTAATCTCTAAAGTAGACTATCTACCTTAGATTTAAAAACAAATCTGAAAAGAAGTATAAAAAAAGTAGAATTAGCTACTTTGCGCCAGTAGTTTGGAATCGAGATTGAGCCATTGCATTTTAATCCTGGTTAGTTTTGGAGAAATGAATGCCAGATTGTATTTGAACTACTGGGATAAAATAACAAAGTGACACCTGCATAGCATCTAATGTAACCTAATGTAATTGTCTTCTTTTTCTGTCCACATTCTGTTTTAAGTCTGTGACTATATGTGTCCACAGGTGCCACAATTCCATTTAGCACCTGGCCTGAAGAAGAATTTTGGAGAACTCCAAAGCTTACTTGGTCTCATAAATATTATTATACTATGCAGTATTTAAATTTATTTTAATTAACGTGTGCTATGTTATTCCAATGGATTTGGCTGTTATTAGCTTTACAATATTTGCAAGGGTGAGAAGCTATTCAAACTGCCTGGTTTTAAAAGCGAATGGATTTCAGCATAGACAGGTGGTATCGCTGTCCGTGCCACAAAGAGCAATGGTTGTGCAGTTCTTCAGTATTATTTATTTTTATTTATTTTGATCCTATTTTCCCCGTGTTAATTTAGTTTTAAAATCTGTGTTTTTAGCTTGAGGTTGTGAGTTTTTATTTCGTATTTTGATTTCATCTTTTCTGTTTTTTATTTGAATTCTGTGTATATCATGATCTGCTCAGAAAATTGTTATAGTATAGCAAATACTATAAATGTTACCTATACATACATACCAGTTTTTGAATAGCAGTGTTTTTCTTTTCAGATACTTACTCAGACAGGACTCAAAAAGGAAGATATTAAAATGTGGGAAATCAATGAAGCATTCAGTGTTGTTGTCCTAGCTAACATTAAAATGCTAGACATTGATCCACAGAAGGTAAATATTCACGGAGGAGCAGTTTCTTTGGGACACCCTATTGGGTAAGTAAAAGAAGACATTACCCTGGTAGTGGGCAATCACTGATCCCTATACTTTTCTGCTACGCAAGAGCTCCACATGGTGTGATTTGAGCCAAAATATTGGGCTATTGGAATTGTTGTTCGCAGTTTTAAGAGGGAATTGGTATTTTAAGCTTTGCAGAGGTTGATCATTTCCACTTCATACCTTCAGAACCTACCCCCCAACAATACTTGGACTGAATTTTGGATGTGTGGCAAAAGATCCATTCCTAGGACGTCATAGAATGCTCCTTTAAAATGGGGGGCAGGCGGAGAAGTGCAAGGAAGTGTTATACATGGTTGTAAGAAAGTTGCCCATGTTACACATGCTCTCAGGTTTGGCTTATGGTCACTCACTCACACATAAACAGCATGTCTTGGCATGCGGATCTTCCAGCCCTTGTTCTTTACTTGGATTTTCCAGGTAGGTGTGGCTACAAGACACACAGCCCTGGTCAATAGCTGGGAAATAATTAGGTGTACATTCAAATCACTTTCAACTGAACATTGAGGCACCTCAGGTTCTGATGGGATACATGGAGACCCCATGATTTCAAATTGGCAGCAGAACTTCGCTGTTTAAAATGTACATTTGCGCTCGCTCTCTCGCTCTCTCTCTCTCACTCACACACACACACACACACACACACACACGGTCATCCCAACCTCCTTCTCAGCTAGGCTGCCAGGCATTAGCTAGCGGGACAGAAATTGCCATGTCCAGATCTGGGATAAGTCAAAACTGAGTGGGCTTCAGGACCCCTTTATCCCCCAAAGTCCTCATTTTGCTGATCCACAAGTCTGGTAACTGTCAGTAGGATTGAGGGGGTGGGGTGGGGATTTCTGTGTGTGCAAGGCCTGGCTTCCTTTGTCTGTCTCCTTTGACGTTTCTCCTTTGATCCTTAACTACATGTTTCCTTCTTATCTTCCTCCCAAACTGGCTTTTGTCCTCTCTGCATATATGTCTGTCCCATTTTTTAGGTTATGGTGGCTTCAGCCTAAGGTGAAGTTCACACCTGCACACCTAATTTATTCATGAAGGCAGATGTGAGTAACCTGGCCCCACCCCACAAGATTATGCCAAAATTAGTGAATATTTGTGGTGAAGTTTTCGTTTTTGAAAAAATGAGCGACTCCTACTCCAATCTCCCCCCCCCCCCCCC